GAGACAGCTTTGAGCCCAGCCACAATTGACTGGAAACAATCTATCACCCATGTTTAGCATTCAGTCGAGCAGCAACGTGCTGGCTCTTAAAAAAACATACATATAAAGCCAACATGGAAGTGCCAAAAACTGCAGTTCCTTGAGTGGCCACTTGAGGCGGACTCTAATAAAAGTCCATCCACACAGACCCCAGTGTAACTTCACATGGCCAATTTTTCCCTTCACCTTCATGTTTAAATTACTTTAGGGTTTCTTTTTATGCATTATGCCACTAGAAAGTGGCATAGGAGGCTCCTGTATTTGCTAGCTATTGTCATGAGCCACCTATCACCATCATTTTGCTAGGGAAATTGGAAACAGGTGCAGTGATTTATTGAAATGCAGAAACAAAGCCTGTGCAATGCTTAATAAGTTTGAAAGTCAATATTTGGTATGACCACCTTTATTTTTTTAACACAGCTTGAACCCTCTTTGGCAAGCGCTCTTGTGTAATTTGGCAAACCTTTTCGCTCTGCAACTGAGTGTCAGTAAACAGTACATGGATAATCCTAAGGTCCAGATACATCTCTTAGGTCTTATGTCAAGTCTTTGCCAAAATGTTTCCTGTTTCATTAGGACGTGACTTTCAGATACTGTTCATCTTATCTGCCACATATCCATTTGTCCTCCATTCATTTTGCACTCCACCCTCTCATCCAAATGTGGTTCAGTTCCCCTGTTTGCCATGGTCAACTTGACCATGAGAGCAAACAAAATCCTCAGCAAAATACTCAGTGTAAATGTTTGGATAAATCATATCACCTCCAAATGCAGCAATGGTCCCCTTGATGTGGTTCGTGTAGTCGCCCTCAATGCCGTGAACATTCTCGCCGAAGAGAAATGGCGGTCGGGCAATGAGGATGACTCCGGTGAGGGTAAAAACAGTGAAAACACAGTCCCAGATTGTACATTTCTCCTTCAGGAAGATCCAAGCCAAGAGGGAGGTAAAGACTGGATTACTGGAGGCAGTGTTCAATGAGAGAAAGAGTTAAAGGAGGAAAAAAAAGCATGGAAAAAGCGTAAATGTAGCTGATGAATTCAAGGAGGATGCAATGCATCTGTATTGTTAACATAATCTGAAGTGATCTGTAATAAATGAGCTTTGAAGCAGCTCTCACCTGAATGTGATAACGGTGGCATCTGCCAGTGGCATCAGCTGAACTGCATAGAAGAGCAGGATCATGGCATTGGAACCAAGGAAACCCCGAAGCATCAAAACTAAACGTTTATCTCTGGGACCAAGAAAACCTGTCCTGGAGGAGCACAGATATGAGGATGATGGATGAAGGGATGGCTGAATGGAAGGATGACTACAATGACTGATAGAGGAAGTAATAAACTGAAATTTCAGGGAGGGACAGATGGAGAAAATGCAAGTACCGTAGGGAGTTAAGGGATGACGAATTAGTGGATGGCTAAGGAAAATGATACATTTAGGTAATGTGGGAATGACAGTGATGGATGCATTTGTGGATGCTGCTGAAAACAGAGAAGAGAGACAGATCTGTAAATGATAAATCAAAGTTAAAATGTATGTGGAGGATGAACAGAAGGATGGGTGAGAAGGTTCAATGCCTTTTTTAAGTTATATTTCTCAGTATTAAAGGAATCAAGCCAAGCTAGTGGAATAAATTGACAGGGGGAAAAAATAATTCAATTCAATGTTATTTATACGCCGCAAAATCACAACACACAGTCCACAGTTTTTAAGATATCATTTTCAAATTTTCTCTGATGACAGACACCAATAACTGCTCGAGATTAATTCCCGTTGGCCAAAAACCGGGCCAAGGTTAAAGTAACGCCAAATGTGAAAAAAATCAGTTTGATTATATTTTGTTTGCCTGTTGGCATATTAGTCTATGTATGTGTAAAAATTACACCTCAAGTGGTTTGTTTAATATACTTGACTATACTTAAGCTCTGATTATGAAATGGGGAGTTAATTTTAGGTGGCTATATAACTTGATGTGGGAGTATTATTCAAAACCCTTTCCCACACTGAATTTAAATGCACATTTTTCCATCAAGAACAGTGAGGGGAATAAAACAAATCTCTAACAATATTTTGTAAACCTCATGTTTGGACTGTGAAGTCAGAACATGTGCCTGTAAATCTGGTTAAAGGCGATAAAATGACAGATAAATTACAGGTGAGTATATGCGCCATCTCTTTGACTGTATCCTCTTATAATCTGCTCAAACCAAAAAGATTGTTGGTTTGAAAATGTACAAACAAATACTGGCCTTAATTATGTCATATACTGTACAGCGTGTGTAAATCTTAAACCAGCTATCGTGCTTACTTGTGATAGATGATTACTGGTGCGACAAACAGCATCTGAAAGAAGCATCGTATGGCACTGATCTCTATAGCATGAATTCCCTCTATAGTTTTCACCAAGAGGGTGATAATGGAGAAGAAAACTGTGGACAGGAAAGCATAGAACAAGCCAACACCTGGGCATCTATTTGGTTTCTCTGGGCCTGTGGAAAAAGAGAAAAGAAGGCATTAGTTTAAGTAAGTCTTAAGACAAAAGAATGTAAGAGAAGGGCCATGAGAGGAAAATCACTTACATTTTTAATTATAAAAATACATTATGTTGTTCTTAATACAGCACTCCATATTGGATGGCGAAGTGAGGAGCAGAATATGTTATTGAACCCCATGTGGCCTGGGTAATTCAGCTGCAAAGATCACAAACAAAAGATATGCCAAATTGTGGGCTGTGGTGTTTGCAAACCCTGACTGTGAAACAACTGATACGTGTGCAGGGATAGATTTTCAGCCCGAGGTTAAACAAGTATTTTTATTTGTACTCACCAGTCCGTTCGCTTTCCAAACTTTGTACCAAGCCACAGGCGAGGAAGAAGATTGACAATGTTTAGTCACAGTAAAGCAGTACTGTAAGACTTGTTGTCATAGAATCATTTTATATTAGGAATTGTCTTTGATTTTAACTACATAATAGTTTAATTACATACTTTGAGTCAACCTCTGTAAAAACGTAAGTGTACAGCTGGACCAGATGGGAGTTCAATTTTATACCCTGTGCTGTTCTACCCTAGCAATTATGCTCCAACTACAAAAGTAACCAAAAAGTAATAAACTAAACCTGGTATGTAAAGGTCCTGAGGAAATGTCTTACTTCCTTGTCAATTTCTAATATAAACCCCCTTCTTCCTTGTACAGGATTATACCAGAGGGAAGACAGGACCAAGCCCTATACAAGTTAAACTAGTCTTAGAGAATTGACATCAGCAGCCATATGTATAAACCACGCCCTATTTAAAAATAGGCACGTTTTTGGTTAGTCTTTTTTTCTTTTGGAAAAGTGCACAGTCATGCATCCGTTTTATAGCACGATGGAAAATGTTAAGCTGGCTTATGAAACAACTGGGCCACCAGCTTCACCAGCCAACTAGGTTCACTACTGTGCAGAATCACTGGTGAACATTTTTCTTAATCATATTTTAAGTATAATTTGGTGTATAACTTTATTTAACATTACCGTTTTATTCTGAAATAAATAACATACAATGGAAATGGGCTGTTTAAACGGATGTTTTATTATCAAATACCTCCCCTCCCAAAAAAAAGATGTTATAAGTTTATATAAAAAATGCGCGTAATCCAGTCTGACAGTATTACAGTTTATAGGCTAATAGCATACACGTGATATCGCCGCTATCGCCGATACGTGACGTTGAACGATTGTATAACGTGATGCTACGCAGAAAGTCACTGTTTGTGTATTAGTACATTATTTATTCACACGACGAAGTTTATCTGCAGGAGAAAGTCGTAAAAACGGGGGATGCTGACTACTTTATGCTAACTGTAAGTGCGTGCGCGTGCGCTTCTACCTTCTGGAGATGGGGACTTGTTTCTGACGCAAAACGCCGGTGGGCACGACGTTTTCTCTTCGTCGCTGCTTTCCAGTGAATTTCCTCTCGCGCCCTCCAGTTGCTCATCATCGTTATCATCATCATCTTCATCATACTCGCACGAAGCTCGGCCATTGCTCTGCAGATGAATCCTCTCTGGTGCCCGGTCGTTTGTGCCAGGCTCTTGTCGGTCGTAGGCGCTGTTTTTGTCATGGCTGTCAACTTTGTAAAACGCCACCGTAACGTCGTCCTCTACGGATAAAGCCCGCTCGTGCGTGCAGTGGTTACAGTCTGCCATGCTAAGATGCGACGGCTGAGCGGTAGCATGCCTCAGTGAGAGTACCGTGCGACTTCCCCGGTGTCCTGAGTGACTGAGAAGACGAGGTTAATGAGTAATCTTGTCTCAGGGGGCAGGTTGCTAACGACTGTGCGGTGTTCAGTTTACCCACAGGGGGGCAGAAGTGGACTCAAACCAAGTCTCCTAGGCAACTAAAATGTTCCTAAACGTCCATGCCCATTTCATACACTTACATTTTTGATTAAAGAAGTTCTGCATACTGGTGAACTAACCATTACATAAATATAGATTTGGTCATTTCCAATACTGTTATTGTTATGGCAGCTACAGTGGTTTACAAGTTCTATTTTTTTGTATGTCTGTATTTATTTTATTACTTGCATCAGAAAAATTTGTTTTAGTGTTTGTCATTCATTTCTGAATGTAAGCCTAGTTCACAATAATAATGAGATTTCGGGATTTTATTTATTTAGCTTGAATTAATTTTGACAGTTTTTTTATTTTTTTATTTTTCATCAAGAAACACACATTTTGCTCAGTAATAGATTGGTATCCTTGTGAAAACAGTAATGTTAAATCCTTTATTCCCACCACCATGTGGTGCCCCAATACAGTTTTCACCTCAGGACTGGATGCCACTGTGGTAAAAAAAAAAAAAAAAAAAGGAACACTTTTTTATTATCAAGTGAAGAGAATCAGCTGAATACAAATCAAATCATAAAGACTAAATTCATTCGGTTTGTAAGTATATATGAACAAAAAACAATACAAGAAGTTCCTTGCTGATTTAGTATTTTATTACCACTGTACATAAAATAAAATGCGAAAAGAAGGCAAAGGGACATGTAATATCCTCTATCCTTACTCAACTAGATAAAAGTGACACAAGTAAGTCTACAGCAGAAGTATCACGTTACACCAAATCTTATCACTATATCTACACCAAAAAAAGAAGCATCGAGTGTGGTCCCCTCTACATACAAAAGTAACATAATTTACACAATATTGTAAAAACGTAAACATTAATTTTTTTGGCAAATTGTTGTCAGTGAAGTTTTTAATTGTCATCAAACTTCTTTTGTGTCAGAATAAGAGGCGCACGTGAAAGCATAGGTAGTATGTGCGGCACAGTGGTTGGCTTTTCGTTGCAGAGTAAAGACAACAATGGCTTTGTCAACGGGGGAGAAAAGGGGTAAGGTTGCAGTGAAAGAGAAAGGGCTGGGTGACACAGTGGGATGCTTCTAGCGAGGCATTCATCAGAAATCGACGCCATGAGTGTATTGCGCACACAGTCTTGTTCAACTGAGAGCAGAGAGGAAGCAGTTCTTTTTTTTAAAACTCAGTTTCTCACAGTGTTTAGCAGATTTGTCATTCCATTTATTGAAGTGAAATAATTACAAGCTGCCAACTAGCTGCCATGGAAAAGACACGGTTCTCAGCAAGTAGTCCAATTTTTACCTGCATTTGGTTGAAAGTAGTGTTATGAAGCTCAGGTCTCAAATACTGACAAAATGCTCTATTGCTAAGTACAGCACTACATCTATAATCATAGATTTAAAGGTGAAAAGGGGGTTTTGTACATTTGTCAGATTGTCTCTTTTCTGTAAGGTATCTGTTAAGCCTGTCAGTTGAATGGCTCATGTGACAGGATGAATGAGACTAACCTACACAAGCAAATAAATCCAGTACTTAAACACAACACACCTATTAGTATTGTAGGTTAATGTCCCATAGTCTATAATGTATTTTCAGGTGAATTACCTCCAGTGGTAACGTTCTTGCCCCCTTTTCCAAAAACAACAACAGCAACAACAAAAAACATGAACTATCAAAATCCTATAGGAGAAACAAAACTGTATGTAGATTAATAGCAAACTCATGTGTGAATGTCTTCTGCCTTTGGAGTTGAATAACAGACGAAGAAGTTCACTGACTTCACAACTTTAAATGGAAAATAAGGCATTTCCAAATATTAAGGGATTGAGATATAAATACAGGACTTGCAGACCACTGCAGCTGATCACAAAATATTTATAAGTTTAGCTACAAACTAATCTAAAGGGCCTCATTATTTTTTGACAAATCTCTCTTTTTGTTTGAGCAAAGGTGGAAATTGTTGATTGGTTAAAATGGGACTGACGAGAGCGACAATCTCGGGGAAAAGGCATTTAGACGATGGACCTAATTGCTCAGATCGATCATGAGGTGCTCGTATATCTGAGTTTTTCCCTTGAAGCTGGATGCCAGTAGGAACACCCGGCCGTCAATGGAAACCAGAGAAAATCCCCGAGGCGCCTGGATATTCAGCTCCTGAGATGGGACAAACTGGCCCCTCTTGGTGTCCCATTGGTAGACCTGCGTCAGTGAGTAATCGCTGCCCAAGATGGCATACTGCCAGTTGCCGGTGGAGACGGGCTGGAACACCATAGAGCCACGGGAAGGGAATGTCTGGACCTCTTTGAACATGGCACCGTCCCAGCGCATCACCTTGGAGTCCCCGATGAATCTTGTCAAGCATATAAACAGATCACCTTTGAAAAGGACAAAGATTTCAAGGGGCCGTTTAGTTCACACATTCAGCCACTAAATGCGGATCTGACACAGGAAAGCTCACAAAAAAACAGATTATGTAATCCCAAATATAATTCATTGTTTGCTACAAATATTTATTCAGCTGTGGGAGACATTTCGAGCTACATTATTCATGCACATTCACTCATTTTATATTCACACATTGTGTGCTGTGATCTTGGGTCGTGTCTTCCCTGTCTGCTCATATAGCAGAGTTGGGCTGATCTCAGCCTTATGCACTGTTTTGGGAGAAAGAAGAAGTGGATGCAGATGTTACTCTGGGAATGGTGCTATTTTTTTTTTTTGATGACAGATAAAGCTTTCTCTCAGTTTTTCTTTCAGCCCTAACTAGGCTAGCTGCTATGGCAAACCCATAATATTCTCATAATATTATGTATAGACCCCAGATTGCCTGTTCAGAGAAGGCTGAGAGTGTGTCCTGGTAGGCAGAGCGCCTGGTGTACCACATTTCTCTCTGCTGGGAGGTCTAAGGTGAGGGAGAAACCATAAAGTTGGAATTGCAAATTAATTCCCTGTCATTTGTCTTTTGAGACCTGTGTCCAGTACGCATACAGAAGCTGTTGTAAACCTCGAAAGAAAACTGCATTCCTTGAATTAACTTTTCCCTGACATCAGCTAATAGCCACTAATAGGTAACCTGTTAATATGAGAGAGAAACCCCCACCCCACACTCTCATAATGTTTTACAGTCTGATTTGTGTGCAGGTTTTATGGCAGTGACATTGCCTTTTATTGCCTTCAAAATAAATGCAGACAATATGCAGCGGGAAAATAAAGAGTAATAAATCAAGTCTAGGAAAGTAAGTCATAAATGTGTTTATTAACCACACTTAAAAAGAAGTTGAGTCCACTATTAAGCATGGATGCAACTAGGAGTTTGCACAGTGTCCTTTTGCTTGCGTGGTTCTCACCTTGGACTCGGAAGTGTTTGATGGAGAAGACGTCCTCCATGTCCGGTATGTCAGTCCTGCGGTCAAACTTTTTCTGGCTTCTGTTCCACTGGTACACGACGGGCCTCTGGGAGCTACTTGACAAAATCAGGTGGGGTTTGTTGGAGATCTCTAGATATTCTACATCTGTATCCCTGTACCAAGGGTGGAGTGACTGATGGGAGTAAAATCCATTGCCGTTCCATTTGTACACCGTTGTGGAGCCCGCCTACAGGAAGAACATGTACAAAACATCAGCTCAAGCCAACTTTATTCAAAACCCGAACAAGCATTTTAATTAAGTACTCAATAGTGATTTACAGTTGAAAACAATTATAGCTCAACATGAAAAACAAATTAGGCAACAAACTTCAAATTTTGCATGAAGCCAAACACCAGAGTGTGGTGGTGTGTCTGTGCTTGTGTGCCTGAGTTGTCCCCAAGCATATGTGAGAGCATATGTGAACATTTGGCAATACAAGCTAATCAGCAGGAGCAGACACAGACCGACATGCTGCAGAGAAGGACGCCCAGGGAAGGACTGGCTGACGTGGTGGGAAGAGTAGATTAGAGGATATTTATTCATACAGGGGCTGGATGCAGTAAGTGTCTACAGTATTGTTGTTGTTTTTAAGTCAAGTCAAAATTGATATCTGTTTGCGCATTTTAACAACCCCAGTTGACCAAAGTACTGTACAAGTTATATAGAATATACAGTATATACAATGATGGCTAAATCAACAATAACTATGCACTAAAAATCAAATAAAAGAAGTAAAAAACACTATGTTTGCACACTAAAAGCCAGGATACTCTGCTTAACTAAATCTGAAAGCAAGCAAGAACAAATAGATTTCAAAAGGTGTTTTAAAATGATTGAGGGACTTGGCAGTTCTTAAGTACAAAGGTAAGTTGTTCCAAAGATTAGGAGCCACCACTGAAAAGGCCCTAACGCCTCTGCTTTGAAGCCTGACTCTAGGAGAGTTCAAGAGCTGCTGGTTCAAAGCCCTCTGTGCTTCAGTAGGACTGTAGGGTTTCAAAAGTTCTGTTAAGTAAGGGAGTGCTAACCCACTGAGACTTTAAAAAGTCAAGTAATGCAATTTTAAATTGAATCCTGAAATAGATTCATTTAAAAAAATCAACCGTCACTAGCGAAATGCAAATTTATGCCACCTGCCATGAAATACTTTGTTGATTTTGAGTGAAAGAAAACAGAAAAGAGGCCCAACCTTAGAGCTGTCAGCGATGACAAAGAAAGACTCTCCGTCGATCATGAAGGTCTCGATGTCGTTGGGTTTGCGAATTTTTAGGATGTCAATGTCCTGGATCTTGATGAATTTGCTGGCAGAGGTATCATGTTTGTAAATGTGTGAGCCCCCAAACAACTGGGCCACAATGACAAAGAGGTGGTTCTCAATTAGCATGGGCTTGCAGACGACAGTTGAGGTGCCTAAAGAGTAAAAGAGAGAACAAAATACACATTCAGTACATGCACAGAACCCAAGCAGCTGTTTGTAGTAGAATGTAAGAACAATTAGGCTCACTAACCTTTTTTTCATCCAATAAAGAGTGTCTAACTACAAATACTAAATGAAATCCGTAGTTCCTTTTTTCAAGTACATCTATCTAAACCTTATCAAAACCATTTAATGACGTAATGTGGTAACTCTGTGGTTAAAGTAAACCTCTGTGACTGATAAAAATATTATCAAAAAAGGCTTCTTTGGCTCTCGGACGCACTTTTTCTCCTCTCCCTTATCTTCCCTGCTTATGTCCTTGTCTAGT